GGGTTTAGGGTTTAGGGTGAACAATGCAGGGCCTTTAAGATGAAAGCCAGAAATTTGGAACATCAGGGGTTGGTCAAGAAGCATATGCCTAGACCCCATCCGTAATCTCTAACCAAAGAAACTCAAATCCTAAGTACTGAATCCTATGTCTTACAGGAACCGCGAGAGACACAGAGAGTCAGATGCTCATGCTCATAAGGCAACCCGCTTATCGCATCGCATGTTCCAACCTTTCGGGCATGGCGATATACTGGGTTTAGGGTTTAGGGAGTGACTCGCAATCATCAGGGGGCCATTTTCCGACAACCTTCATCTACAAAGAGCATCTACGGTTACACCATTTTCCGACTACTTTAAACTACAAAGAGCATATAAGGTTACGGCTGGGGGGTCTATTTTGAATTTTAGGCCATGGCGCGAGTTGGATCTGGATAAAACCCTAAACCCTAACCCTGAACCCTACAGTTCATGGATGAAGTTTACTATAGGCTTTCGGGTTCAGGGGCGGCGGAGGATGCAGCGCTGAATTCTGTGCACCAGAACTTACCTTCTTTTGGGCCGAAGGCCGCATTTTTTGTGGGTCCTCCTCATACTGGGGTGTACCCATAGGCTCCAGAGTAGTTCNNCTTTTCTGGGGTTCATATTTAGAATCCTATAAGGTAATCCCAAAAAGGAACTACCATGGGGTCTATGGGTATAGGCATAGGCTATAGCACTTTGGATTTCAGGTGTGGGGTTTTTGGGTTGCTTCCGTTTAGGGCTTAGGGTCTGCTTATGTTTGAGGCCTAGGCCTAGGCTTTCCGTAGCGGAAAATGTTTAAGCGGCCATGCTTCATGATGCTTTGCTGTGAAGTCTCTGCCTTCAGGGGTTTAGGGCTTAGGGTTTAGGGTTTGCTGCATGCATCATGGCACAGATCTCCTCGATGAGATTTGTGGTTTCACCACGCATGTGCTGAATGGTCGCCGAGTCCGACTCCCTCGTGCAAGAAAGCCATGCTTCGAGGATACGGTGAGCTGTGTCCTCGTTAAACCCCATTGCGCCGTTGGTCAAGAGGCCAACTGCCATTGCAGGGGACACCACTCCCCAGCGAGCCTGCTGTGGCAGATGCTGCTCTGCCCATGTATGAAAATCTATATGGGCAGCATTCCGCTTGTCCTTGAAGTACCGAACTTCGGGGCTGCGGCGGAAAGGTTAAAGCATGCGCAAAGTACCCAGAAAGAGGAACGAACGCCCTTCAGGCTCCGGAGTTGATGGGCTTGGGTTTACGTAGGGTTTAGGGCTCCCCGTTGAGAATACATAAGAGCAAAGGTACCCTTCTTCCTGCTGTTCAGTCTGCTATAAGATGCTCCCAAACCAATACCAGCAACAAGGGTAGCAATGCAGAGGCCTGGACTACATTTCTTTTGTGCTTTCATGGTGTAGTAAAAATTGGACAACTAATAATGCTAACAAAAGCACTAGCAGCTAGCAGTTACAGTAAGCAGAGGCAGAAACAACGTGTGTGTACGTCTGTAGAAAAGGAAGCACGGCGTTAAACCTCTGACCTGCAACCATACCCTGAGCCACGAAGCCGCAGGCTAAACTACCCAAAGACCTGAAGCCCTAAACCCTTTAAGGTTTAGGGTTTACCTATAGGGTTTATAGGGCTTAGGGCTCATATGGGGTCTTGATGTCCCAAACACATACATGTTACGAAGCAGAGTCTCCCATTGTGCTATCTCTTGCGATTATGGTTTGTGCAAGTATGCCGCATGCCCATCTAGGCTCTAAGGATTGAACAGTTGGCTGAGATATGGAAAATCCCCTTACCTTGGAATACCCAGTTTAGGGTCCATTTCTGTGTCAGATCATGATAGAAGCCCGGACAAAGACCTTAATTTAGGGGCTTAAATTTAAATACTTACCAATACTATTTCTAGGGGTTCCATTCAGGGGCTTTCATACTTACCAATACTATTCCAGGGGTTCCTTAGTATGATTATAGTATAATGGGCCCCAAAACCCTATTCTAATTAATAAGGCCCCTACATTAGTTAGAAACAACTTGAGCATAAACCCTAAACCCTTAACCCTCAGAAGCACCTTGAGCCACTTTTTAAGGCCCCTATATTACATTGACACCTTAGGAAAGCTTGTGGGTTCAGGCATCAGTAAGTCCTACCTGAGCAACCCTGGCGACTCGCCAAACCCCTAAACCCTAAAACCCACATCGTAAAATGAACCTCAGTGAAGCCCAAGAAGCCTGAAGTCCTAAACCCTAAACCCCTAAACCCAAACCCTAAAGCCTAAACCCTAAACCCTAAACCTAGTAGACTCTGCAGCTCTGAGGTCTGATACTCCAAGCTTGACTTGATTGCCAAACTACCCTTTGACTAAACCCTAAACTCGAAAGCCCAAAACCCGGATAGGGTTTAGGGGCTGTGGTTTCGCAGATGCCTGCAGGTGCTGCATGCCAATGTCGAAGCTTCGATCTGTGGCATGCTGACCAACCTGGCTTTCACTTCAGCGCGTTTCATGTGTCAGGGATGTTTGAGGAAACTGAAGGGGCTGGGCCTTCACATGCAGAACAGGTCCTTGGGATAGATTTACAAGGTTAACAGATTGTAAAATTGTTCTGCAAGGGTTTACAAGTACCCAAACGGCAAGGCATAAGGAGACTCCTCACGCTACACAGAGGCTTAGGGGCTGCCCTAAACCCTAAACCCTAAACCCAAACCGTTGAGGCATTTTGGGTCGTGGGCTTAGGCTGCAGGCCTGAAGCTGTCGCAACTTGTCGTTCTCAACAGTACCGGTTCTATGTGGGTGGTTGTCAAAATTATGGTCCCTTTTTGGGTCCTTATTATGATACGGCACCTATTATTTAGGGTACCCCAAAAGGGACCATAATTTTGACAACTACCCATGTTGATTTATGCCAGGACCCTGCAGAGGTGTAGGAGCCTAATAGTTACCAATCCTTAGTATAGTCAAAGTATGATAGGCTAGGCCCCAAAACCTTATTCTGACTATTAAGGCGCAACCATATAGGCCCCAAAACCGTTATTCTAACTATTAAGGCCCCTTTAGTAGGTTGTTGTAGTTTGAAGGTAAGCGTTGAGTGTTCATTCCTTGGAAAGCTTTGGCCCTGCTCTAGTTATCAGGCTCATACTCTAAGATCCGGGAAATAAACATGGAGAAGTTTAGGGTTTAGGGCTTAGGGTAAACGGAACGACAAAGTTCTACTATGGAGACTATGTACAGCTAAGGTGTCGAGCTGGGGAGATTGTTGAATTGTGGCTCGTACGTTCTCCGTAAAAGATGAACATAGATCCCAAGCACCGACACCCTGACAATGAAGACTGAACTCTCAGCCGTAAGCGCGCCATCAAGTTTTTCTGACCGAAAGCGCCCTGCTAGAGCTCGGGGTAAAGAGTAGCTTGCGAGACAAAGCCTACAGCCTTTGAATCGCAGCCAGAACTGCGCTTGCCATGATTGAGCTGTATGGCTCCATGAGCTGTAACTGAGGCCCAACCCTAAATCTGTAAATCCGTAGACCGTGACCCTCAAATGGTAGCAGTAATGGCAGTAGAGACAATAAACATAATGCTTGTAAAGCTAATGCTAATGATAGTATTTGGCTTCAAATCTCCGAGAGTCGCTTTAAAGCCCCAGGTCCCGGGACACTTCGTAGAGCCACTACACTACAGCAACAAAATAAAACAAACACCGAAACTCAACACTTCTTGAACAGAAACATGTGTGTAGTTGTCTAACTTAGGGTTGCTTTTAGGGTCCTTTATATAAGGGTGTCGTACTATATTGGGGACGTATCACTCCACACCTTCTGGCCTAACAGAGGGGCCTTAGTAATTAGAATAGGGTTTTGGAGACC